GTAACTTACGGGTGAGCGAACACCGCGCCAGTGGTTCAGACAGAACACAAACATACATAAAAAAACATAAAAAACATAAACATAAACATAAAGTAACTTACGGGTGAGCGAACACCGCGCCAGTGGTTCAGACAGAACACAAACATACATAAAAAAACATAAAAAACATAAACATAAACATAAAGTAACTTACGGGTGAGCAAACACCGCGCCAGAGGTTCAGACAGAACACAGACATACATAAAGAACATAAAGTAACTTACGGGTGAGCGAACACCGCGCCAGAGGTTCAGACAGAACACAAACATACATATAACGTAGATTACAGGTGAGCTAATACAGTAACTAAGGCACCTCCAACTATATGGGAAAAAAAAGAAAAAAAAAAGTTACTATAGACATGACTGATATAAGATAGTACTGATGACAGGAAGAACACTCCTTCCAGCCTTTGCTTAGATAGAAAATCCTGCAAGGCAGCAGAACATGGAACAGGTATTACAATCATGCTTTACATCCAGCAGTTATGAAAACAATTTAAACAGAAAAAAAGTAATACAACGATAAAAATAATGATGATACTGATGCTGCAGTAGTTTTGAAGATAAATATGCTTATTCAAAATTTGAATCTAATTTTGAAAATGAAGTACATGAACAGGAAGAGGTGCAATTGAATATTTCAATTAACGATCAAATTGAAGGTATATGGAAAATCGCAAAAAAGTTTAAAAATAATGTATTACCGAGATATGTTTATTATGATGTATTACAGAGATATGTAACTGAGAATAAATCTTTTAAACTATCTTTACATTTGAATTTCAAAACAAGATGGAATACAATAAAAATTATGGTAAAACAATTTTCATGAATAAAAGAACGTTATTAAAAGGAATTTATTGGAACTAAACTTAAATTCATTGGAGTTAAGTTTAATTCCAATAAATTTATTGGAACTAAACTTAACTCGAAAAATCCTTTTCCACTGCCAGTGGCTTTGTTACAAAGAAAAAAAAAATGTTATCAAGCGAAATATTGAATGCACTTTGTTTTCTAAAACATAAAATATCTACCTCCAGATGATGTTCCATGTCTGGAAGTTAGCTACCGCAAAGACCAAACATAAAAAAATGCTGAATCCGCCCTTGAATCTGGTATTTGAAAATTAGAAAATTAGAATCCACTCTGACATCGAGTTTCTGTAAGACAAATGACACTAAAATTGTATATAGGTCATGTCTTCCCCTACCGTGAAGAAACCCCTACCGCTTTTTTTGAAAAAATAAGTAAATATTTAGGTTTTATTTTTTTTTTCAATGTATTAATTGCATCAAAATTAAAAACTATAAAAATCCAGGAGTATTTAAGTTTTATCTCTCAAATAATAAATACTTATACAATAGTATTTTGTGTGTAGGGTAGAACAGGACTAGCTGAGCATAGTGGCAAGTTTGGCAACTAAAATATCTCAAAAACTACTCATCACAAGGCAAAACATCAAATGGATAAAAGATAGGTATTTAAAATGGTAACAAAATGCGCATCAAATGGTTGTTGGATTTCCAGCAGTTGTTTGTCAGAATATATTAATTTATCTTTTATAACTTTTTCCGATTAAATCGGAATATATTATGAAGATCATAAAAATTTTTTTTTATTTCTTCCAGTGGTGAACCACTGAAGAAATTATATATTACTGATACAGTACTAAAAAAACCGTTAGAAGCGAAACTTAGGCTTCATCATTAATCGCCAAATTTAATGTATGAGCGTTGCATAGCATAAACAAAGCTCTTGGATGATTGTTCAAAATTCGTTTTTGTAATCCAATATGTTTTCCGGACATTATAGACCCATTGTCGTATCCCTGGCCACTCATAATTAACATTTAGTTCAAGTTTAATTTTTGAATTAAGAAATCATAAAAAGATTCTCCATTACTTTTTTCAGCTTGATAAAAACCAATTTCTCTGACTTCAATTTTATTATTTTTAGTATGTACATATCTGAAATTCATTGTAATTTGCTCGATATGTCCAGCATCCGGCGTACAATCAAAAATGACTGAAAAATATTTCGCTTATTTTATTGATGTTAATAATATATTTTTGAATTTGATTTGCAAGGATAGTGGTTTCTAATCTAAAGTTTAGGTTTTTATACATTTTAGATTGACTTGAATTGAAAATAATGAATTCAATTTTGTTGGTATTTAGACTAAGTTTGTTAGAGCGCAGCCATTGAAGAAGGTTGGATAAATCATGATTAATATGTTTGTTAATTTTTTTAATGATTTGATTGTTATGAGTAAGTCAGCACAATGGTAAGGCGTTGAAAATATTTGAGAGATATTAAGATTATTTATAAAAATAAGTAAAAGCAATGGTCCTAATACAGAACCGTAGGGTACACCCGTGGAGCATTTTTTGGAAAAGATTTGGCATCATTGATGGAGATAAATTACGATCTATTAAAAAGATATGATGAAAACCATTGGAGAGTATTAGCTTGAACACCGTAGTGTTCCAATTTACTTAAAAGGATGTAGTGATTAACAGAATCAAAGGCTTTCTCTGAGTCAAGAAACATTTCACATGCAAAAAGTTTATTGTCAAGAGCATTTCTAATAGTTTCAGTTATTTTAATAAGTGCATGAGTTGTGGAGTGTTTGTTACGAAATTCATACTGATGTTTGTAGAGACATTGGTTTTTGTCAAGAAAGCTATAAAGTTTGTTGTACATGGCTTTTTCAAATATTTTACTAATGTTAGATAGAAGAGAAATTGGTCAATAATTTGTGTGGTCCATTAGAGAACCACACAATTTTTATGGATAGGAGTGACTTTAGCTATTTTAAAAATATCTCAAAAAAGACCTTTATTAAAAGAATTATTCAAATGACCATCTCAAACTGTCGTTTGCAAACCTCTCTGTACCATATTGAATAAAGAGGTTGTCCATTAATTACGTCAACAAAATAAGGGGGAGGGGAGGTCTGAACTTTTTTGACAGTTGTTGACAAGGGGGAGGGAGGGGAGGTCAATCAAAGTTGATATCAACGATTTTTTTTTTTTTTTGAGTTTCATCGCTTAAATAACGGAAATTTTGTAGCGTAGCTTCTTTGTATAGGGGAGGAGGGGGTAATCAAAAATTGACGTGATTTTATAGGGGTAGTCTCTGGAAATTTGACAAATTGTTGACAAGGGGGAGGGGGAGGTGAAATTTTCAAGAAATTTGTTGACGTAATTAATGGGCAGCCCCAAAAGTCTTTTTTCAGAAGTTTTTAAGATAGCCAAAGTCATTCCTTTTCTTATTAACTTGATTATAATTTATTGGTGATTATTCCTTATTAAGTTGATTATGATTTATTGGTGACTATGATTTATTGGCGACTTGTTTAAAAACAATATTTATCTTTTAATTTGAGTTTAACTTTATTCTTTATCTTTACTTTAGCTTTTTTAACGGTTAAAAAAACGCGACGGCCACTTGCGAAGACCTTGCGAAGAATCTTGCAAAAATAATATTGTAATCTTATATCATACCATTTAACTACTATGACTATGTCTTAATTTATAATTCATTAGTTGTAAAAAAACAAAGAAGTAAAAAAGCTAATATTTCAAAAAATGTGTAAAATATTTTAATGCATATTTACCAAAAAATATAAATAACTAAAAAAACAAACAACTATTAATTTAAGTGATATTATTTGTTCTTAAATAAAAAAAATTCAAATCAAAATGTAGTCAATTCGCATTTTTTAAATAATAATTAAATAGTTTTGTATTAAACTTGTATCTGTTTATTTCACTTTTTCAAGTAAGTCAAAAAAGATAAAAATTGTTTGAACTTTTTTCCAATATAGTTCGAACGTGTTCAAGTTCGAACTTTATTTCAACAAGTTTTGAGTTTTTATTTTTAGTTACATGAGAAATTAATTAAACTAAATGAAAATAATTTGATTAGAAGTTGTCAAAATTAATTTTATTAAAAATTAATGAAAATAATTTAGAATGTCAAGTCATATATATAGAAAAACAATATATACGTTAAAATTCGGGGGCCCCGGTTATACCCTGATTTTTGGGGTCGGGCGTCTAGGCTCCCAGGAGCCCGGGTTAATCCGGCATTGCTCATACTGCAAAACAAAATTGCTTATTATTTACAATTAAAATTGGGACTGTGAAAACTGTTTTTTAAGATTCTCATTCTTCTGTTTGAAAGATCAAAAACCGGTAAAAATTAAAGCTTGTAAAATAGAAGTTAACTGGGAGATATTTTGCTTCTTAATAATTTGAAGGAGTCTTCATTTTTCACTTGTAGAAACACTTTAAGATTTCTCAATTAAATATACTCAAAGAGTTTATAGTTATTTTTCAGTCTTTATGCATTCTAATTCCAATATCTTTGTTAATGATATCAAACTTTTAAAAAACTAGATATCATTTTGAGCAATGAGCTCTCGTCAGAGTAATAATTTTCATTTTTAAATCATCATCAACACCATCTTGACCATGGCTACCATCTTGACCATGGCAATCTTTATTTTGCACGACGATTATAATTTTTTTAAATATAGTACAACACAAACAGCTAAGTGTATAGACTATACACTGAACACTTTACTATAGTGTGATTCAAACACAAATTATAAAGAATAGAAGATTATCATTTAAATTTTATCATTACATTTGCACCGTCGCCGGTTGAACCAACAATATGTTTTTTAAAATTAATATCATATGTGTTTAAATGTTGTTCTACTTTTTCAACTAATTGTACAGCTGTATACGAGTTAAAATCTCAAACATGCAGTCAATGAAAACAACTTGATATTAATAGTTTTCTTTCGTCGTCACAATTAAAAATTAAACTTTCAACATTGCGTTCCGGAAAAAAATCAATACAATTTTTAAATCAATAAATCTGTTTACAGTTGCAGATTTATGATTTTTACGTTTTGGTTGTACTGATACATTCTAAAACTGTTTCTCGTACATTCTTTAACTGTTTCTTGTTTGTATAGTGCAATATGTTCTGTTGGTAGAAAGCCGATTTAACATATTCACAAAGTTAGTTACAAATAGTGTGCAATACGATGTCATCGCAGTTCGAAAAAAGTTATAAAACCTAATTTGCAAATTAAAAAAAAAAAAAAAAAAATACAACTAAACAATGTTTTATTTTAAACTTTTATTGATCATTATAATTGGTTTATCAAGAGGAATCGTTTACGATAATTTTTGCAAAGATTATCCCTCTTCCCCTCAATGTCAACTTATAAATAAAAATACAAGACCTCCGAATGAAAAATGTAATCCATTTGCTAATGAATGCAAGCTGAACGATTTTGTGGATAGTAGTATTGCATCTTGTAAAATTTATTCAGAAAGTGGCACTGATAACCCTGATCTTAGGTGAAACTTTTAATAAAGCTTTTCTTTATAATTATTTACATTAGTCAACAGTTTGTTAGCATTAGTTTATTTTGTTAATTTTATATTTGACTTTTAATTACTTTACTGTAATTACGTTAATTACTTTACTGTAAAGATTGACGAAGCTAACTATTTAAGACCCGATTTTAAATGCAAGACGAATTTAGACGTGTATACGGGTAGCATGACTAATCTTGAAGTTGCAAAAATGATTTATCACAAATCTATAATTTGGATAACAGCCTCGAAATTAGGGATTTATCTCGAAATCATTGTAGAGGAAATCTTTTCCAAATTTGGTTAGAAAAATTAGCTCAAAATAGCTTAATCGAGATTTAAATTTAAAAAAAGAAGGAAAAAAAAAACGAAAAAGAAATGATTACTTGCCTAGCTCAAACCATCAGTCGATGTAACAACACTCCTAAGCGGCAGCAGGCTATAAGATAGTCGATTATAATCTCAAAAATAATCATTTTTGAGATAAGTTCTGTCTAACCATTTTTGAGATCAATCAATGGTTTTTCATTTCGGTCAGATAAAAATTTGAAATAAATTTTTTTTTTTTGAGAAGTTTTTTTTTGAGATAGATATGCTTTCCCAAATTTAACTATAATACGAGTTCGTTTTTTTATATCAAATTTAATTGGAATCCGAACTTGGACTTTAAAACCGGATTTAAATGCCGAGTTCGGACTTTTAATCAAATTTAGAATATTATATTAAATATTTAACACCATTGTTACCTTTAGGATTTTTTGAAAGCAATAAATAAGATTTTATAAGTGATAAATAAGATCTCGTTTTTTCATTTTTTCGGGTAATGACTTTGTAGGGCATCTCTGTTTATAATATATCATACAATTTGTAATTGCCATTTTTTTTAATTGATAAAAACTAATAACGTTTGAATTTAACTGAAAGATATATGAAATTTTGTAATTGTTATAAAGTTTAACTGACAGCCAATTTCTATTTCAAATTCGGCACCGAAGTCGAAGCTATCTTTGCCTTTCCGTAAATTTCGTAATCCAAATTATAACGAATATTCACCGGTCCTATATGTAATCTTCCTTGAATTTGTAAGGACTTCAATTAGAAGTAATGTTGGATAATAAATTAAGTTTCAAAAGTATTGCTTTATAAATTATTTTGTAATGGTTATATATATATATATATATATATATATATATATATATATATATATATATATATATATATATATATAGATGTTTTCCACAAATTACTGCTCCCATAAACGTTTATACTCAACGTATAATCGCAGTAAGTGAAGGCGATCCCAGTTGCGTGCCGGTAAAGTACAAAATGAAATTAGTTTGTGGTGATAGAGGTACTAGATGCGTGTGTGATACTGGTGATTCTAGAATAAGTGACCCAGTAAATAAATGGACACAGCATTTATGCAGGTATCTTTTTATTTGATAAACAAAATTGAATAGTTAAAATGTTGAACAGAAATCTTTTTTTCGGTAAAAACAACATTTTTATTATTGTACAGTCACCTTAATTTAGGTGTCAATGGTCGATCGACTTTTGTTCAATAAATGATGTTTGTACAAATAATTCAAAATGCATAAGCTCTGGTTCAAGCCTACTTTGCACTGATGGATCAGTTAACCAATGCACTATTAGTCCAAGCTTATGTCAAAGTATGAACTCATACTGTGTGGAGTTAATTGATACTCCGAATACGCAATGGACTATCGGTTCCGGAGGTGAAGGCTTTGGGTTTATATGTATTGACAAATCACTTTTTAATAACATCAATAACTTGGCTCCATACTGCAATTTAAACATCACTAACCAAGTTATAAAAAGTAATTTTCGCATCCCATATGATGGAATTGATTACTGTTGTTATGCTTACCTCACTTGCGTTAAAAAAGGAGATAAAGTTGGAGGATTTTTATTAAAACCAAGGCCTTGCTACTGCCTTACAGAATTTAAAAAATGTTTATTAAGTATAAAAATTGTTCGTCAAAAAGATTTTGCTCTTTCTTTTTTCACATTCCTCAATAAAATTGCAGGATGCACATTTGATGATACTGGAAAATGTAATCCACAAACTCCATCTACTTGTGAAAAAGGAGACCTTATAAATCCCAAATATGCTAATTGTAAAATTAATTGTTTAACCGGACCTTTGTTACCTATTGAGATACGCTCATGCAGAATTCGCAAATGCATTCCACCAAATAACTTTATTGGTATGCGAATACTTGATGTTCCTAATCCTTTTGAAAGCTCTCGATGCGATCCTGTTAAAGATCTACCAATTGAGTGCGGGTTTTCTGGTACAAGATGCGTTTGCGACGGCCATCCATCTGGGGACGTTTATACAGACGGATGCAGATGTCAATATTGGCCGGTGTAATTTTAAATAAAATATATATTTTTTAATCGGTTAATTGTGTTTTGGATCTTTTTTCCAGAACTAGAATTCAGTTTTGAGATTAGAACTTTCATTGTTATAAAATTTTTTACAAGACTGCTTTTGTTTGTTTAGTAAAATTGTATTTTACTTTCGAGAGTTTAATTTGATCTTTTTGAAAAACTTTTTTACATTAACTAGGTTTAGAATTTTAAAATTCTAAACCTAGTTAATAGAATTTTAAAAAAGTCAAACATTTTTATACTGTTAAATTACGGTGCCGCAGAGCGTACAGTTAATAAAAAGAAATAAAACGGTTCTCTTTTAATTTTGCTTACTTATGCTCTAGTAAACTCTGTATGTTTTTCTCAAGATATAAAAAGTTCGCTAGTTAGTTGCTTGCTTTATAAAACAAAAGTTCCAAAGAGGTTTGGACCTATATTCTGTAACGTTTTTAAGGAAAATATTGCGATTTACAGTATCAAATGTTTTGAATAGAGCAATAAATATGCTAAATACAACATAAGAATTTTTAAAAGAATTAGACAGTTTGCGAACAAACTGGATAATTGCATGCTCAATTAAGTTTTTTTTAAAACTAAACTTATAATTGGGGAAAAGTAAGCTAGTTAAATTTTCGTAAAAATTGATTAAGATATTAAGAAAATCAAGCTAAATTAATTAAAAATAAAATAAAAACTAATCTTATCAGAAATTAAGTTTACAAATAAACTTTTTTTATTAAATATATCAAAAAACTACTTATTGATTAAATAAATTTAAGTTGTTTCATAGTCAGAAGCAGGTCCGCAGCATTTTTTCATGCAAATAACTCTTGACCAATTTTGTATTTTTTGAGTAAACACAATCAACAAACACAAGACTTGCAACTAAAAGCCTTGCATTGGTACCATATGTTGTTTTGAGATAGCAATTCTTCTTCCCAAGCTCTGCGACACTTTTTTCACCTGTTGATGTCTTTTTCTTGTCTCAATTTTTGAATGTTGCACTTGCTGAGTTTCATCAGAAACTTCACTGAAGTCAATCTTGCGTTTCTTTAATTGACTTTTTGGTCTCATTGTTTTGCTTTAGTTTCTCGAGCACATTAGATGTACTTAGACACTAGCCTTCAACTCTCGAAATGGTGACCCTTTTTGGTTTTTGTTGTAAAACATTTTTCAAATTGCCTTCGATTCTTTCTGTGAAGTGTTACAACATTTGATACGTTTAAGCAGGAATCACTGGTGTAATTGTTAAATTTTGAAGATGGTGAAGATGGCAGGCTGAGATAGTATTTGATACATTTGAGCAATTTGTTATTATTGTTTGATCAACTTTGCTTTCATATAATATAATGTGTTTTGAAATTCAGCGATTATTTATATTTGTGTAAATGCGTCACCGGACGCATTTACACGAATATCTAACGGTTGAAGTATGTGGGACAAATGAGTCGGTAAACATATCAGTCTGGTGTTATTGTTAATGTAATTACGTGCAAAATTGTAACATATATGACATGTCCGTCCAAAACTAAAACGTAAATATCTGTAATTGAAAAAATTATTTGATTAATTGATTAAACTACTCAATTTAAGTAGACCTAACTAATTACCTGGAATTAATTTGACTGCCGGTATGAATACTTTAGTAAGTCATTGAATAAACTGTTTCTATTTCACTCAAAACGATTTGGATATTGTAAATATATTGTTTGATGTTTCCCTTACACACCAGCCTAAAAAGCATGCAAACAAATTACTCATAATCTTTAAGCTTTCCTTTTACATCAGCATATACCTCAAAATATCTGAAGAGGTTTTATAAATCATTGGTTTTTATAAAAGATTAATTGAAGCAATAACAAGTGACATGATCCTTTCTAAGATTGTCAAGCTGATAATGACAAAACCTCTAATTGTTGGGTAAGTTTATCAGTAGCAGCCATTAATAATTCAGAAAAAGCTGAGCGCTGCGTTGTTCATCAATATTTTTGCTTCAATTTGTTTTTAAATTCATTAGACGTTGCATTTAATTTAAGTTCATTAGGTAATATTTTATTCCAAATTTTTGGTCCTCTAGTAGAAATTGAAAATTTAGTCGCCGCAAAATTACTTTTGGGTTGAATGTAACTGGTATTTGAGAATCTCGTTAGATATTTGTTCTGATTTATTTTGAATAGCGGGTAAAATGTTTTTTGAGATATGCTTTTATGTATTTTAAACATAAGTATAAGATGATGATAGATATTTATTTTGTAGACATTCATTCATATTCATTATATTGAAATAATGCATGAGATGATTCTGATTGCATGCTTTTGTTTATTAAATAGTTTTTTTATTTTATTTTTATTTGTACTGCACCAAGCAATGATTGTTGTTAAGATGGAAAATAAATGTAATACCTTTTAGCAAATTGGATTTAAAAAAGGTTTTTCTCTACAAAGTAGGCTGACGTTCTTTGAGATTATATTTCGAGATAATGTATGTGATCTCTCCACGTCATATTTTCATTAAGAAGTACGACGAGAAATTTCAATTTGATTTCTTTTTTTATGTCCTAGAACATTAGGACCTATGATTTTTATTTATAAAGTCTTTAGAAAAACGTTTTAAATTTTCTACTTTTACGTTTTTCAATTTTTGTTAATTCATATTTAACCTATGTTAAGAAGCTTAGTGATAAGACAAATTATATTTTTTTTACCCCTGCTATTTATATTTAAATTATGTTTTACGGCTTGAATAAATTTATACGGCAAAAAATTTTAAACTTTCTATTAAATCTTCAAGTCCGATTAAAGTTTTTTTTTTGTCAGGTAGTTATGAGTAATTTTTTTAAACTTCTTTAGAACTTTTTCAAACAATTTTTGAAATGAGGTGACTTTGGACATTTCATTTTTTTTTTTCAAAATTTAATTATAAATTCTTAATATGTTGATATAAATTGCATTAGGTGGGCATAATGTCGAAGAAATAAATAATTAAAATGAAAAATAAAGAAACTATATCTTTGACCCTATTTTTTAATTTTAAGGGTTAGCCAAAATCATCCCTATAGTTGTGGTGACTTTGGCCACCTAAAAGGAAATTATAATTATTGATTTTATGTCGAGACTTTTTTTTATGATTTTATGTCGCTTTTTATTAGGGGGTATATGATCATCACCTCTAGCTTCAACTAAATATTGTATGAAAGAATCACTGACAAGATAACCTATTTCTACAGTGACATCTTCATTTGTATATGTTTTTTTATGAAGTCTATCTAGCACTTGTTTTCGATCAAGTGGGTATAATCCAGTTTTTCTGAAGCCTGCCTTCATACTTTCACAACCAGGTTCTTCAATTTTTTTCATGAGACAATTAAGCAATGCTGGAAACTGGTCTTTTGGAAGAGAAGAAGCTTTACTTCTTTTGCCACTTTCCTTCCAAGTTGTTAATATTTTTTTCCACTAAGCTTTCATTGGTCAAAAATATGCAACATCCAATGGCTGCATTAAATGTGTGGAGTTAGGAGCAAGTGCAATAAACTTGATGTTGTTTTCTTTACACAAAGACAGTACATATGTATTTATATGTGACGACAAATTGTGTCCAATTAAAACATGTTTTCCATAAGTTTTTTTTAGTTCAGGTAACAATAAAGATTCAAACCAATCTGTAAAACAACTGGAGTCAAACCATCCACTCTTTGAGCGGTTATAACGTGCTCCATTTGGTCCATCTTATATCCAAGTTGTCCACATCGAATCTGCTTTATATACAATATATGGAGAAAAGATATGCCCTTCTCCATTACCGCAATACATCAAAGTAGTAGCAGACTTTGTTGAATTAATTCTCTCAGGATATTTTGATCCTCGCTTTGTTATTAATAGTTTATTACAAGGGTCATCGGTTAAATTAGTTTCATCGTAATTCCAAATGTTTGATGGAGGAACCCCTGCCAGTTCAGGAGTGATGTTATCAAAAAAGTTATTAATAATAACAGTACCTACTTCTGCCCTTTTTTTTAATGTTACTTTCAAATCTGACACTTAATTGTTTATTTCTCTTAAGGAACAATTTTACCCATTCAACACCAGGCATATTTCCCGCAAATTACCTAATAAACATTCCTTTACGGTCTGCATAAGACTTCACAATACTTCATAAAACATTACAGTCAAGTGGGAATCCAAAAGAAGATATAGTTATAAAATAGTTTGCAAAAATTTCTTCTTCAATTTCACTAAATATTGTGCAACCACCTGGTTTTTTTATTCTTTATTGTTGATAGACGAATTTTAAAGGTTAAGCAAGCATCTGTTCGTGTTAAGTTACCACTTCTTAATTCTTTTAAACATTTAGTTAATGTTTCCTGGGTGTATGGAATATAATCACGACTCCCAGCAACACGTTTATATGTTCTTTGCAAGTTTTCTTTGATATAAATATGATTATTAATTAATATTTTGTCTTAAAAACAAAAATTGAAAATTAAAGAAATAAAATTATATCTATAGACAACATTTTCTGAAATAAAAAATCAAAAATATAACATTAAAAATCAATTAATTACATTTTTTCACTTAGGTTAATGTCACCCCAAGTTGTGGATAAAGCCATTCCATAAATTTTACTTAAAGTTATTTTTAATTATTAGAGTTATAAATTTGGCAACTATTGTACAAAACTCATCCTATTTAAATTTACTATAAGTTATAACATCACAAACAACTCAAATATTAGCAGCAGTTTCAACTAACTCTTAATTTTGCAGCATATAAATTTTACAATTTTTATAGACTCTAATAAACAAAGAAAAAATCATATCAATAGTTCCGCAAACTACAATTAAACAGAGTAATAAATAAACAGAATAACTTTACTTTTGTGATAAACTTAAATTTGGAAGAAGCCGCAAAACTACAAAATAGTTTTTAAAAGTTAAAACTATTTTTTATAAATTAGTCAAAGTCATCTACTTGGCCGAAGACACCTTATTTTACGGTACTTCGATGGTTTTTTAAGTCTATTGATTTCAGAGCTTGGCATTAAAATAGGGAAATAGTTAGATATATCCATTTTTTGGTTACCTTTTAGAATATCAATGCTAATGACACTTGTTTTGATGATTTATTTAGCAG